TTTAAATACTGTACATGTACAACTCAGTGAACCTCAGTATTTCTAAGGCAAATACTGTTAACCACCTTGTTTTATAGATTGAGAAACTGAGGCACAGAAAGATGTAGAGAATATGAGCTAACCAGTCTAAAGTTCAACATAATCTAGCTTTAGAATCCTGCATTTCGAGACTGGCTTTCAATATAGAATTGGCCCACATTTTAGAGTGATAAATTATTACATCCATAGCAGTTCCCAGGTTCTGTTTATATCACGTAGAAATGTAGACTACTAATTCCTAGAAACTTTCAAAAATTATTTCTAATAATATAATGTTCAAACTCATAGAAAAGAAGGTAAAAACTGGAAATTACTGAAGTCTCTCTGAAAAAAAGCCATTTCCAGTGCACCAGCCCAGAGCCTGTTTGCCCTGCGAGCTGGCTTAAATCCCAGGTGGCCGCAGACTCTTTCCTGGATTCTTGTGACCTGATTTTCAGCTGGGTTCAGCCATTGTGAGACACTGGTTAGGTATTAGGGAATGGGAGGAAAAGAGAAGGTGATAAAGAGAGGAATGAAGAGAGGGGATAAGAGGGTAAAGCAAAGGCAGCATCTCTTTTATGTATCAGCTCCCTCCAGACAGGCCTGTGACTGTGGTTCCACCTTCCACTACGGACCCAAGCCCTGGGCTTCAGTAACATTTCTTCGCCCATTTGTACCTACTGTGGCTTTCTGCCACAGTAGCTGATCCCCGGCTTGCCTTTCCACCTCCTGTTTGGGTGTCTCAGTTCTTCATGACCTGTGTAACCACCTTATGCCCAGCACTGAATTCCCTTAATTAGCTGTGCTTATTAAGTTATTTCTGTTTGCCTAGTTAGATGCTGACTGGTGCACAATCCATATTCATTTTCTGTTAGGTATGATTATAAAATAGGCTAAGAGAACGCTGCTGGCATACTGTATCCAGATTTCAGCAAGACTTGACGGATAATCTTATGATGTCCCTGTGAACAAATTGGGAGAAATTTAGACTGGGTTATAAATTCTTAGATTGCTGAAGTTTATTCATGTTCAAGTCAACCTGATGAAAGGGCTCTAGAGGTTTGTCAGAAAGCTCTGTCCTTGGCCATGTCCTACTCAATTATTACCAAAGATTTGGACGAACACATAAAAAGCAGCTTTATAAAACATGTCCAGGACTTGGTTCCATAGGATAGCGATTAGCCCATCTGCTTTACATGCAGAAGGTCTTGGGTTCGCTCCCCAGTGGAGCCACAGTCCATGGTCTAAGGCCATGCCACCCCGAACAAGCCCGATGTCTGATCTCGGAAGCTAAGCAGGGTCAAGCCTGGTTAGTACTTGGATGGGAGACCACCTAGGAAGACCAGGTGCTGTAGGCATAAATAATAATAAAATAACAATAAAAATAATAAAACATGTCCATAACACAAAGCTGAAAGGTAATTTAATTCAAATTTTGAAAGAATAACTTTATATGGAAAATCTTGGATTTAGGTACAAAAAATATATAGAACAGGAGAGGCCAAGCTTCCTAGCATATTATATGGGTAAAGAAATCTGGGATTTTAATTGACCACAAGCCCAATACAAGACAAAGTGTGAGCTGTTTTCAAAAGTGGGGTAGGCCATGCCACCCCGAACAAGCCCGATGTCTGATCTCGGAAGCTAAGCAGGGTCAAGCCTGGTTAGTACTTGGATGGGAGACCACCTAGGAAGACCAGGTGCTGTAGGCATAAATAATAATAAAATAACAATAAAAATAATAAAACATGTCCATAACACAAAGCTGAAAGGTAATTTAATTCAAATTTTGAAAGAATAACTTTATATGGAAAATCTTGGATTTAGGTACAAAAAATATATAGAACAGGAGAGGCCAAGCTTCCTAGCATATTATATGGGTAAAGAAATCTGGGATTTTAATTGACCACAAGCCCAATACAAGACAAAGTGTGAGCTGTTTTCAAAAGTGGGGTGGGAATTTATCCTTGGGCCCTATTAGAAGATTAGTGTTCCTATCAAGTGACAGAGAGTTCTGCTTCTCATCTAGAGTGTTACAGGAAGACTAGAAACTTAATTGAAGAAAGATACTGCTGAATCGAAGCATCAGTGTTCCCCAACCCTTGTAAAGCTTTGTCATTTACAAGTTATATTCACACACGTGTGTTCACCCTTGCATCACAACAGCCTGGTGGAGGATGTACTAATTACCTTTTCTGAGCCCTTTATTTCTTTATATGGGTTCAAGTCTAAGCTACATAGGTCATTGTGTCACCTTCGGCAAGCAAGCTATGGTGCTTGGTCAGGAACCCAGCTTATTTCAGTACAGCCCATTCTCACCTCAGGACATCATACTGCACCTAGAAAAGAGGGACCCAACTTTCAAAAGGTCGGGAAGCCTTTACATAATAAGCAATTAAGGGAACCTGGGACATTATGACAGGAGAAGAGACTTGTGAGTACATAAAGTCTGTCTTCCAAGATTTCGAAGTCTGTCACATGCGAGAAGGAGAGAAGGAGTGGATTAATTTATGTGGCTTCAGGAAACAACTAAGACTGAAAGGGTGATAGAGTTTTGCTCACTATTTAAAAAATTTCAAACAGAACTTCCCTCTACTACGGTCACTGCTTTTGTGCAAAAAGCTGGATAACTCTTTCTCAGAAACAAAATAGTATAATGAATTCCTACATTGGGGAAAATGTTAAATTAGATAACTTCTTGAGTGACACCCAAGTCTGAGAATCTGATTTATTTTGGGGGGGTTTTGGTTAGTGAGCTATGTGATTTGTAGATTTTGATTAGGAGTTATTTGTTATTTTTACAGTTTCACTTCCAGGAACATAATTGTTTTCCTTATAATTTAAGATTAGCATACTCTATTTGTGTAAAAACTTTTAAGAGCCTGAAACAAGGAAATAAAGCATGACTAGTGCTCAGTGTAATTAACTTCGCAAGAAATATTATGCTATTTCCCAGAATGTGTCCGCAGTGTGAATGTCTGCATTTGTTCCATTTCATTCCTAGCTGTAGAATCCTATCAGGGGTGATGAGATGATTTTGAAATATACTGAAGCGGAGAATAGAGTTTGCAAAGTATTATTAGGTTTGCTAAGATGAACTTGTACAAATGCAAACCGTTGGCATATCACTATAAAAACCAGCGCCTGTATGGTAAAAGGTCCCTGAAATGACTTATTAAAGGTCACCGGAGTGATAGTGATTGAAAAACCATAAATTTTATCTTGAGAATGGCTTTCTGCCTTCTTTCCAGAACTAGTACACTCTCTTTCCCCACATTGGGATAGTTATATTCACGAAAGGTTAGGATAATTGAGAAAGGAAAATCAAAATAATCTCAAAATTGGTAGAAAAACAGCAAATCTCTTATGAGAGTAAAACATGCAGTGAAGACAAAATGTATTAGTGTTTCTAAATTAATTTAGATTAATTTAAATTAAATTAATTTAAATTAGCATTTTGCTTTGATCTTATTTTCTGGTTAGAGTTAATAAAGGGAAGTTCTCAGTCTTCATAACTACTTGCTGAAGTCTAAATTTTAACTTACATGATTTTGTGAAGAAGCGTAGTTGTAAACCATAATATTTCAGATCTTCCCTGTGAATAATCTGAAGGGCTGGATCCTCCTGTCATGTTGTTTTAAAAAAAAAAAAA